TTAGAATAGAAGTGTGTGGTGAAGGTGAGTCGGTAGAATCTTTAATCGCCGGAAACCTTTTAATTTACCTTTTGATGTTAGCAAGAGAAGGGAGAGATGAGGTAAAGAAGGTTTTGTAAATACGGCAAAAAAATAAACCTAAAGACTTTACTTTGATAAGATATTTTTTCAGTTTAAATTCTCTCAGCTCAAGCATGTTTACCTGCTGTAGTATAAAGCGAATAACATTTTGGTATTCTCATTCCAGTCCAAACGCCTGCTCCTGTACAAAGGATTGTCGCCGAACCATCGTTCTATTCTGTTAATCTAACGTGGACAATACCAGTGGCTAAAAACTCTTCTTATATTACACATTTCATCATTTACTTAAACGGCACAAAGAGAGAAAGAATATCTCGTGTACAATATGGAAATAATTTCATTCTTCGGGGTCTGAAACCTAACACTTTTTATAAAATTGGCATAATGTCACAGGATGGATATTCAAAAAAGTCCATAGCGGTCTACAAAAGTTATAAAACTAAAAGAGCAGGTAAGAATAAAGAATAAAGTCTGAACCTGGTTGGGCTTATAATTATTGAGTGAGCCACTCTACCTGTTGCTTTTACTCTTACTTCTACGCTTTGGTTTAAAGTCAGCTTTAATACGTTTGTAGTAAATCTAGATTGTTGATTTAGAAACTGACTGCATGTCTCCATTTTGCCCTATTACGTCATTTTGATTTGGTTTCGCACGCTAATAATAAAGGCTTAGTATACTGTCTTCCCTACTTCAACACTGCTACTGTGAAGGTTGTATTGCAGCAATGCCAATATTTTGCACAAGTGTATAAGAACACTGGAACACGGTAGTAATTCAACATATTTGCAACTAACGTACCGCACTTCTAAAAATTATGTTCTATTTTCCTTCTCGACACTAAAAGTGAGTTAAAATAAGATTTTTCGATCATGATTTAAGAGGTGTTTTTGGCTTTCTTAATCACCCTCAAGAATGAAGATCTTAAGTTCGTATGATCTGTATTAAAGGTAATGTTAAAAAACGCATTTTTATTCTTCCGTTGTCAAGGGTTTTTTCTTAGACACACTCAGTCAGGAAAGTGTCTCGCAGCTAAAACTCCAACCTTTCGAAATGATGACTATGGCACCCGTTATTGGATTGAAATGGTCACCAACTGCTTGAGTGATCTTGCGCTGTTCCGTTATCTGGATAACGAAGTATTGCATAATATCGAGACAGAAGGAAACGTCGTGTCTGATTATCCTTATTACAATAAACGTTTGTTTATATATGACGGGAAACGTAAGGTTGCGAGAGATTTTGCAAACAGCACAAAACATCGAATAAAACAAACAGTTGGTGAATCTTTATATCTTTACAATGTGAATGATTGTGTTCAGCCTGGTGTGCAGTATGTTGACGTGAAAGATACTTCATGCACCGAAGTAGCAGCACAAAAAATTACTTTCGGTAAGTAAAATTACTTTGTCATTGAACTTAAAAATTTGGTCGTTCCTTCCTATTATAAGTGCTACATACATTCTGTAGTCTGTAAGTTGTAATCAGAGGGGGTATCCTTTAAACCGACTGAACACCGTTATTATGCTGTTTAGTTGATTTAAAAATCTTTTGAAATAGCACCATGTAAACTAGCACAAATTGCGGGGAGAGAAGATTAAAGAGACGGGATTAGACCAGTGCTTTTTAGGGATTTCTTCGTAAGGGGGGGGGGGGGTGAGAAAAGGGACCTTTTATCATGATTGAGAGGGAAAGGGAAAATCAAGAGAAAATATCTCATTCACTGGGGAGGGGGCGAAAATCCATCAATGGGAACTGTAGAGACATGAAGTGTTCCGCGAGTATCGCGGGCGTGGACAGTACGTGGGAAGAATGTTTTTGATTTTAAAAAGTGTAAGATAGAGAGCTTTATGATAGCACGTTTTGCGTTATTTCTATACGCGAAAGGTGAATAACTTTGAATCTAGCGGGCAGCGCTGAAATGAGTTATATCGAATAAATACAATCAAAAGTTACCAGAGTTTCAGAGTCGTAGTTAAAGTCTACCGGAACGGAAGAGGGGCTGGGGTTTATAACTGGGCGTCCCAGTTATAAGGTTAAAAAGGCCCTGGGCTAACTAATAGAGTATTCGTGCTTTTTTTCATTTTTCATATTCTGTTGATGTTCATGTAATGATAATTACGAAACACTATAGATAGAGAAAATCTATAGATAGGGATAATACCTAGTGTTAAACTTTATGTTGTCTCGGTACAGGGAATTTCCTGCTGGGCTGATCAAATCAAACGGAGCCTTCATTTTTTATCGCCAGGCATATCGCATTATGCATCGCATTACTGGCTTGTGCGACATTACTTTATTGCAAAAAATCAGAGCCCGCGTTCTATGGGCCGAGTGTCTCTTCTGTTTGTTTCCAATAAAACATGAATGTGCATTTTTTATAAACGTCTCCGGTTAGGTTCAGTGACTCAGTACCGCGACAAAATGAAAGATGTTCATTGTTCTCCAATACAACGTATGGTGATCCACAAAGCTCATTATGGTGATTTTTTTGATGCTGCAATATTCAATGCCAGTGCAAATATTGATAAGAAATGTAGTCGACAAGCAAGTTGTGAAGTGAAATCTCTTTGTGGTGGAAACAGATCTTGTGAACTGACCGTTGACAATAATTTACTGTCATTACAACATTGTTCTGACACAACAAAAGAACTTTTTATCGAGTACACTTGTGTGGATAATTATATGAATCCCATAACAACAGGTATGATGCGTTATCGTTCAGTCTTTTTAGATTTTATATTACTATAAATAGCCCAATGATAGAAAAAAATAAATTTTGTGATGAAATGTATAAAAATCGTTCTAGTAGAAATCGACCTTAGCTTGGGACTGTTTTTGACGTCACTCAGGTGTCTATCATTTGTTAGAAGTCGACTGATTCGGATCCACTTGATCCTGATCGTTTAATCAAAAAATTGCGCCTCATGGTGAACCACCTTCCGCTAAAAATATTACTCGCACGAAATTCTTCGCAATTTCAGATGGAGGAAGTTGGGATCTCTGATACAGAAGCAAAATGTTCGAATAATAACGCTAATTTGAAATGATATACATTTTTCGGCAGTTCAAGCACCCAACATGAGATTATCGAAATCACCGAACGAAGGTTTCATTAAAATTAATGATGGTTCCACTTGGAGAAAAGTGATAGAGGAAATCTGGGACATCAGTCTTGAAAAATCACTGTGTCAGCACTTGGGATTTAAAGAGACAATGGGGAAAATTGTTAAACCTGAGGGAATCGAGCCAGGTCGTGAAATTGTAAGTGGTGACTTATGTTATGACGTACCTCAAAACGAGAGATGTTGCGTTCACCTTTATCCCTCTATAGCAACGACAACAGTTAAGGCACCATATGTGAAATGTGAGTATATAAGATTTTATCAAAATGATTTTAGTATTCATCTGTTTCTTATAATTCTTATGATTCACACGATAATCACGTATCAGATAAAAAAACCGTTCTCGTTTTAGGCAAGATATGTGAGAATGCATTACTACAGAACAAAACTAAGTTTCCACACGCGATATTTTCTGGAAGTGGTTCTACTGACAATACCAAGTACAAAGAAGCGAGATTTTCTAGCGATGGTTGGTGTCCAACAGAGTCTGGAGACAAATATCTTAAGATCGACCTTCAAAACGAATATCACATAACACGAGTTGTGGTTATGGGTGATAAGGCCCAAATGAGATGTGGTGAATCATATTCTTTGAAGTACAGTCATAATGAAAGTTTGGTGGATAAAAATAGTGCAATAAAGGTAGTGATAATAGGCATTTTAACGTGAAACTAAAATTCGTATTCGTCCTTAACAATTAGCTGTTTGATGCTGGGGGATCTTGACCATAAAGATTGAAGCATGAAATGTAAACTAAGCTGTGGAAATTCTGTATAGTGTTCATACTTTCTAATGTGAATTTAAGTTTTCGGTTACTGGTTTGCCGTTAACCTCAAATCGTCAATCTTAACAGCGATCTCAAATAGTGCCTGTACCAGAATATTTTCAGAGATGAGATTCGTGTTAAAAATTTTTTGAACTCTATTGTATGCTACAAATATTTTACTTTCAGGTGATAGGAAATCAAAAAAGTCATCAAGCATCGACTACAGACGTTGATATATACAATGCGAGATATATAATGATAACACCAAATTCAACAACACTCATTTGTCTGAGAATAGATCTCTGCGGTGAAGGTAAGGTTTCACTACTGTTCTTGTAAATCCTACCGAAAAAACAATAGATCAGAATCTTGATCTTGGATTTTGCAGTGCCCTGTAATCACATACATTAAACTGGAAATACAGACTTTTGTCTCAGAATAGAACTCTGCGGAGAAGGTGCAGCTTTTTTTACAAGTTACTTGTCATTTAAATTTGTCATTTCAAAGTTTTATCGAACTGAATTAATTCTATCTTTCTCCCAGTGCAATCTCTGGCTCCTGTTCAAAACGTTGTTGCTAAACCATCAGATTTCTTTGTTCATCTGTCATGGACAATACCATCACCTAAGGCATCGACTTTTATCACACATATTATCATTTACCTAAACGGTACCGAGGTCAAAAGAATATCGCGCGCATATTATGCAAATCAATACATTCTTCGAGAGCTTACACCAAACACTAATTATGTTGTTGGCATAAAGACACAGGATGGTCAACTAAAGAATACTCAGACAATAGTTTACCACAAGTTCAAGACCAATGAAGCTGGTATGCATAATATGGGGGGCTTCTGATTGTTTTCTAAATATTTCAAATTCAAATAATTGTTTTTATTCTTTACTATCATAGTTCCAAGTGGAGCTCCACGCAGTGTTATGATTAAATCTCGCAGTAAAAACTCTCTCGAAATTTCTTGGAGAGCTCCTGATAAGATATTTCGGAACGGTGAATTGGTGGAATATCAGATTTGTTTTTCTATAAAGAAAAATGATGAAAGTCCGAAATGTTCAAACACAAAAGTTTTGTCCGCCTTATCATACGTTATTTCTAATCTTATTCCTTCAACAAAATACTTTGTGACAGTCTCGGCTGGTACAAAAATTGGTTTTGGAAACAAAAGCTCAGAAATAAGTGAAATAACAAATGGAGGTAAAGAAAATAAAAAAGGACATTTTAAAGAAGCGTAGTGCATGGCAGAAGAATTGCCGAATATGCACTATTTGATCACGTGTAAAAATTGTTAATTTTTTACTCCAAAGTGAAATTAACATGTGTTATTTTATGATATAGAGCCTGTGAACCCTGTTGTAATGTCCCACATTGATCTTGGTTTAACGATACCTAAGGCAGCGCCCTATATAAGGTGCGTGTATATTTCAGGCGTACATTTTGTCGAAGCAAGAGGTGAACATCAGTCATGTTTTTTCCATTCAGAGAAGTACTGATTATTGTTCAAAGAGCCACGTCAAGTAGGCAAACACCAAGTGAAGACATAAAAACAAGTAAACTCAGACCATACCAATCAAACACTCAAGATCCTTACATCACTGCTTATTTGAGAGCAGACGTTCGCCCTTTGTCGTTCGTGATCGGTGATGGCAAGGAATACAAGTATGAAAATGTAACATACGTTAACCAACCTCTTCAACCAAACACAAGTTACAACGTGTTCCTGAGATTCTTTGAAAGCCAGGTAACTAAACGAATGTGATAGGATGCATGTATGTATAAATAATATATTTAATTCAATTGGATCCCGTAGTTAACTATATGTCTCTCGTCTAGAATTCCTACTACTCCACAGGATGGAGCAAAAGTATAAAGACGAAGGTAACCCCAGGTGAAAAATTATGAATATACAAGTTTGTTCTCATAATTCATTGCAACTGTCAGTTTAAGTGTATAAATCTAGACGCTTTAAGGGGTCTTAATTTCGAGTGGAATTATACACACTTCAAATTGAAGCCAGGAACAGTTGAAGGAAAATGAGTCAACTATAGGTCCTATGTATGTTTAAGTGTATAATTATCAAATCAAATGTATCAGATACTTAGCTTAATTCACAAGCCTATTGGATTTGGCTCACTATTTGATTCACTAATCTGTTTCTCGTTCAAAAAAGGACCCAGTGGACCTCCACTGGATGTTTCTTTGAAATCTCGTGGTAAATACGCATTAGAAGTATCGTGGGAGGCTCCTGAAAAAAGTTCAACAACTGGAGAATTAACTGGATACCAAGTTTGCTTTTATACCAACGAGACTCCTTCAGAATGCATTGTGCTAAAAAACCCGAATGTGCTTGCACTTACTCTGAAAAACCTTCAGCCTTCTACGAAGTACTTTGTGACAGTCGCAGCGAGCACAAAAGCTGGTTACGGAGCGAAAAGCTCGGTAGTCAGTAAAATAACCAATGGAGGTAAGAAAGACTACAGTATATAGTTCATATGCATTATCGCCAAGCTAGTATAATTTAACTTAAATGCGTATATGCTTTGAATCTATTATTAATGCCACCAGTTTATTGTTTCTAGAGCCTTTGAATCCACTCGCAACTTCCTATTACACTCTCATCTTAAACATCCCCAAACCAGCAAACTATATTCGGTAGGTATTTTATAAAATTTGCAAAATGTATATTCAGAATTGAGATGCTCAGAAGCTAGACTATGTACAAGTACAGGCGTCTAGTCAAACTCAATTAAAAGCAGGCAACAATAAATAAAGAAACTGTATATGATGTGTCTAGTATTTGAGTGTGACCGAACCAGAAGGCTGATATATCCTGCTGACAAATACAGCAACCCGTTTGAAGCTTATCATTTGTACAACTCTAGGATCCCTGTAATGAATAATACCTTAATTATAGCCAAATATTTTCCATAAATTTAGGCAAGTGATGGTGATCGTTCAAAAAGCCGTGAGCAGTTCACTACAAAGCGAAAATATTGAAACCAGTAAACTCATGGCATATCAGACGAACACTCAATATCCTTATGTCACTGCATATTTAAGTACTGATGATCTTCCTTTGATGTTCGTCATCGGCGATGGCAAAGAATATAATTTTAAAACAGAGAAATACTTCAACCAACCTTTGACAACCAATTCAAGTTATATCGTGTTTTTGAGAAATTTTGAGAGTCAGGTAAATAAGTAAGAAAATGAATATTATGTTAATGATTTGGAAACAGGTATTTTAAAATTAAATAATTAAGAATGTGTACATTGTAGCATCTGGTTGAGGCCCTATGGGTCGTACGTCATGTAAATAGATTATACCGTATCGGCGGGAAATAAACAACAATGGCTGAGCTCTAATTTAGACAGTTCATATGGCGACGAGAACGGGATTAAAAACAGAATACTGAGCAAGCAAAAGTAGACGAGAAGTTTTTACGTTAGCACAGCTTACACAACCTGCAGAAGTAGCGGTTAAAACATGGCTACGACGAGCATAAAACCATGCGTACCGGAGTTCAACACAGAGGAACTAACAGACACGGGTAAAAATTTGGATAGACGATGGAAAGAATGGATAGAAAACTTCGAACTAGTACTAGATTTTGAAGGGGTAACGGATCCCGAGGAAGGAAAATCGAAAAAGAAAGCGGAGCTGCTCACGGTCGGTGGTCAGGCACTTAGAGAAGTTTTCGCCACCGTAACGGCAACCGACGACACATACGCAGCGGCGAAAGAGGCACTGACGGCACACTTTTCACGGAAGAAAAACCTGATGGCTGATCGATATCGATTCTTCTGTACAATGCCAACATCACCCGAAGAAACGCATGACCACTGGATAACAAGACTTCGCACAAAAGGCAAAGACTGTGAATTTGAAAAAATGACATTAGATGAAGCAATTAAACTGGTAGTCACTATACACACATCATCGGAGAAACTACAGCGGGACATCATCGCAAAGGATATGGATTTAAAGACAGTTATAGACATCGCCCGCGCACTAGAACTCACACAACGGGAAGTCCGATTCATGAAAAACACATCAATGGACTCGGCGGAACCAGAGATCAACAGTTTGTCAGAAAAACACGCTCAAGCAAAAGTTGACACCACAACAGCTAGACGAACTGAAGTCACTAAGGAAGCAACATCACGGAACAAATCGACAATTGAAATATGCAAATACTGTGGCCAACAAACACCACATAAAGGAAAGTGCAAAGCCCGAGGAGCAACATGCAATGTTTGCAAGAAGAAAGGGCACTTCGCAGTGGTTTGTCAATCTAGATCATTTAAAATCAAGTCAGTAGAGCAACACCACAGTGAAAGCAGTGACGAAGACAACACACAAGCCTCCTACAAGTTCAACAGGGTAACATGGAAGCTAGATCAGGTTATAACGAACACGACACCACCACAGCAACCAGAGTACAACACCAAAGTCACCATAAGGGTACAAGACCAGCGACTTAGAGCCCAAGTGGACTCTGGAGCAGAAGTGAACATCATGAGTTACACCACATATGAAAACCTCACCAGAAAACCACCATTGCGAAAATCGAGTGCAAAATTGAAACCGTATCGATCTAAACCGCTGCCAGTTAAAGGATATTTCGGAACAACGATTCGAGCAAATAACCAGGAAGCAAACACCACTTTCTATGTGACAGAGAAGTCAACGGCCATGCCTATCCTCGGAAAATACACCGCTTTTGATCTGAACATTCTCAAGATAACCGTCTAGGAATTGCTCCAGGAACAGGAACAACCAACTAAGGCAACTGTAATAAAAACAGCTCAAAATGGTGGAAGAATATCAGTCAATTAACGGGCAGAAACAAATCTTCAAAGTTTTTTCATAAGTGACCCTGAAAGTCAAGCTACAATGAATGATAAGGAAACTGCTAATTATATTAACAATTTCTTTGCAAGTTTGACCGAAGATTTTCCCGACGTCCATAAAAGGTGGTTTGAATATGGCGCGGGTGAGTCCTTACCCATAATTACGAAATAATCCGTTTTGACCAAATTGAGAAACTTAAAAACTAACAAGGCATCTGGTTTAAATGATCCCAATTGTAAAATCCTGAAGATATTTGCGTAGGCTTTTGCAATACCACTCACGCACATCTTTAATGAATCCTTCAAATCAAAGTGTTTCCCAATCACCTGGAAAGAATTTGGGGTTATACCAATCCAAAGTGTGTAGCTTGTACTAGCGCTGAAAAATTACGCCCCATTGCACTAACAAGTGTAATTTCTAAGCTTCAAGAATCATATGTAGTTAAATGGATAAACGAGGATGTTGAAGGAAAAATTTCGAAAGCACAGTATGGAGGACAGCCTGGATCGTCTGCCGTTCTTGCCCTAATATACTTGGTCCATAAGTGGCAGAAGGCTCTGGATGCCCCTGGCTTCGTAATTAGGCTAATATTTCTAGACTTCCGCAAAGCTTATGATCTTATTGATCATAATATATTGCTTGAAAATTGTTCTAAGATTGGCATTCGACCAGCACTGATATCATGGCTTGCATCGTATTTGAGTGGTAGAAGTCAAGTTACGAAATTTGGAAACGAGTTATCTGAAAGATATACTATACATGGAGGTGTACCTCAAGGTAGCAAAATAGGACCTGTTGCATTTATTGTGCACTTAAATGGACTTCCCTCAGTATTGAAACAATCAGAAGTATCTGGTGAAGATTTTGAAGGTAATGAGGACGACGATGATGTATCAATATTTATGGACGATACCACAATCTCTGAAATCATAGATATAAAAAAATCACACGTCAGGTAATGTCATTGGCAACGCTACAAGGAACATGAGCCAAGTTGCGAAGTTCACTAAGGAACAAAAAATGGAATTAAACTTGAAAAAGTGTAGAGAAATGCTCATCGATTTAAGAAGGAATAAAACTGTCATACCACCGGTGAAAATTGATAACCACACGATTGAAAGGGTTAGTACGTATAAACTATTGGGTCTTTGGATTGATGATGATATGAAGTGGAAGACAAATACAGAGAAGATAGTAAAAAAGGCTGCTAAACGACTATTCCTTCTTAAAGTATTAAAATCATATGGTGCAATTCCTGATGAATTAAAAAAATTTTACATCACAGTCATCAGACCAGTCCTGGAATATGGAGCTCAGGTATGGCATGGAGGGATTACTAAGGAACAGTGTAGAGATATTGAACGGATTCAAAAACGAGCATTGAGGATAATTTACAAGAATGATGATTATGATGAGAATCTTCATATTGCAGAAATAGAAAGTTTGGAGAATCGGAGAGACCGCATGTGCATAGACCTAATTAAGGATATGTCGAATGTAGACCACAAACTGCATAAGTTACTTCCAAAGAGAATTGGAGAAATTAGAAAGAGGGAAACAAGACTAAATAGTCAAAAGTACTATAATTATAAGGCAAATACAGAACGATTTAAGAACAGCCCAATTACTTATGCAATCTTAAAGTATAATGAATTTTTATCTTAGTTGTAGTAATCTTCTTATAGTATATATAGCTTTAATGTAGTCTTTTATTGTTATCATAGTTTAAATATAGACTTGTTATTGTAATGCACATAACAATTTAGCTGGTAGTAGCTACTAGAACTGTGTATTTTACCCAATAATAATAATAATAATAAAATAATAACACAGCCATCAAACGCACAAGACATGTCATACCTACCTTAGAGGAACTAAGATACAAGTTAAACGAGGCCAAGCAATTCACCAAACTGGATATGAAACAAGGATACATGCAACTAGAGTTGAATCCAAATTCACGATATATAACAACATTTTACACCCCATCGTGGACTCCGACGTTTCAAACGATTAAACTTTGGGACAAACTCGGCAGCAGAAATCTTCCATGAAGAGATATCACAACTGATGGTCGACATTCCCAATGTTGACAACCTGTATGACGACATCATCGTATACGGTAAGACACAGCAGCAGCACGACACAGCGCTCGCACAAGTTCTTCAAAGATTTGAAGATTGTGGACTAACGCTAGGATTGCCGAAATGCAAGTTTGATCAACCGGAAATCGAATTCTTTGGCATGAAATTCTCAGCAAAGGGCATGTCACCAACAGATGAAAAAGTCAAGGTTCTCATTGAGGCACCGCCACCAACTACAGTGGGAGAAGTGAGATCTTTCCTCGGGATCGCAAATTACAGTGCAAGCTTCATACAGCATTATTCAGAAAATACAGCACCATTGCGAGAGATGACGAAGAAGAACGCCCGGTTCGAATGGACAGATAAGTGCCAGGAAGCTTTCGATACTCTAAAGAAAGCAATGGTCAGCCCCCAAGTCATGGCCTGCTATGATCCGACCCGATCAACGCAACTTATCCTAGACGCATCCAAATACGGCCTAGCGAGCATGCTAACCCAATTCGACACGGAGACGGGCAGACACAAAGTGGTGCGATACGACAGTCGTTCTACCACAAAGCAAGAATCGCGCTATGCACAAATCGAGCTAGAAAGTGCAGCCGTCGAATTTGCAATCAAAAGAAACACACATGTACCTCTACGGACTTCCCCACTTTATAGTCATAACTGACCACAAACCACTGCTGCCACTCTACAACAGATACCGCGCTGAGATGCCTCCAAGAATACACTGACACAAGCTTAACCTACAAGGCTACAACTTCAAACTAAGGCATGAACCAGGAAAGGATAACCCCACCGACTACATGTCCAGACACCCACCCCAAAGTCCAATGACATACCAGCAAACGGAACATCAAAAAGCAAAATTAGTTGATGCACACGTGAATGCGAGTTATCCGTAGCCCAGGGAATAATATTGCAAGGCAGGAAGCTGGTGGTGCCTCAGAGCATATAGAGCCACACCCCATCCAATGACACAACAGTCACCTGCACCACTAGTGTTCAATGGCAGAAGGTACAAAACAAGACTGCCCACAACAACCAACAAAACCATACTAGTCTATGACAAGAAGGTGAGACGGAATGACAAAATCAGCAAAGAAAGGATGAAAAAAAGGGCGGACAGCAAGCAACACGTCCGAACGAGTGAGATTAAGGTGGGCGACAAGGTACTTTGTCGACAGCAAAGAGCAAACAAGCACACGCCAGCTTACAGCAACGAAATATTGAGAGTGATTAAAAGAAAAGGAA